GATCTGCCCAATAAAAAGGGGACGCCACAGTCTGTGCCAATTACCTTCTTAATATTGCATTTAAGGACATGTCCAGCTATTTGTATGAAAGACTGAAGCCCACCGTCAACAAACTGATTGAACCTTATTAGTGTGGCTTCAGACCTTGTAGGTCAACCATTGACCAGATATTCACCATGCGGGAAATCTTGGAAAAAAACCCGAAAAAGAGGTTCGATAACACCACCTCTTCGTCGATTTTAAAGCCGCCTTCGACAGCACGTATAGAAGCTGCCTTTACGCCGCTATGTCTGAGATAGGTATCCCTGCAAAACTTATACGGCTGTGTAAGCTGACCTTGAGCAACACTAAAAGCTCCGTCAGGATAGGCAAGGACCTCTCCGAACCGTTCGATACTAAACGAGGTTTCAGACAAGACAACTCCTCATCGTGTAACTTCTTTAATTTATTGCTGTAGAAAATAATAAGAGCTAAACAGAGGGGGTGCAATCTTCTATAAGAGTGCCTCAGTACGGCCTCAACAACCGCGCGGTGAGTTCTGCTTTCTGGAGACTGAACAAGGAAGCATAGGATATGGGTCTGGTAGTGAACGGATGGATAAGGACACTCCAGCTTTGAAAGTTTTTGATGCACTACCCGCCAGTGGAAGCAGAGAAAGAGGAAGATCTCCACTCCATTGGTAAGACCAGGTAGAGAAGGTACTGGCTCTACTTGATATCTCCAATTGGCGGAAAACAGCGAAAAAACGAAACGCAAGCGGTGTAAAATAAGTAAGTAAGATTTTGATGGCGGCCGCGATAGCTAAGTGTTCGCCCCTCGGTAGGGAATGTCAACCCGTCCGAGTGTATTTCCGACATGAAATAAAGCTCCTCATAAAAAAACCATCAGCCGTACGGAGGCGGTTGTAGGTCCCTCCATTTATTGGAAGCACATATAGACGCAAACCACAAACAGCAGGAGGAGCTCGGCTGAAAATCGTTTCACCTTCCGACTGCTATAAATTTTGATGGTCTATCTCTTCTTCTTCTTGAGCTTACATTCTGCGCACAAAAATTAATACATAATTTCCTGTACATGAAAGATATAAAAAATTATTTCCTTAATAGTTAATTGCATTGGTCGTATTATTAACCTTATAAATGCAGAAAAACATTTTAAGAAACTTAAAAATAAAATTAAAAAGGAAAATTATTGTAACAGACACAAAAATATGGTTAAGACAATATCACTTTTAGTAGAAGTTGTTTACATAGATATACACAACGTACTCGGTGTGCTAATAAAAACTCACTTAGTTACGGAAGTAACTAATAAAATTGAAATTATTTTTATTTATAAAAACTTTGGAAAAACATATGAAACAAATTTTAAGTCAAAAGGCCATAAATATTTATTTATTATTTATTTTATGTACATATATTTTGCTATTGATAATAATAAGTGAAAGCTTTCTTATTTATTGCGCACTATTCATAAACATTTCACTAATTTTTTTGCGCTGTGATTGTCTCCAGGGCGTATGCGCAACAAATAAGTCTTACATACAATTATAAATATATATGTAGGTATTTTGCTTGCACAAATCGTTGATTTTGCTTATCTAAAAATTCTATCGGATAATTGCGTTGCGAATTAAATATTATGATTACGTTGGCAGATTTCTAATTTTTTTCTTGGTTCTTTTTTAATATTCTTTTTTCTTTTACAGCTATCAGTAACAGCGCATATCATACGTGTTTGGTAGCCAATATTGGTGGCTGATGTAAATTTACACACCAATTTGTTCAGCCCCCAGCTTAGTTGGTGTCGCTTCAATCAAAATGGGTTAGCGATTTGATTATATTTTCAGATATAACTAACTGGATAACTGTCGAATCTGTTGTAACTGTTTGACATTAATTAATTTGGGCCACTCATGATCATTGTCAAGTTAACTGACATACAAAGGTATGTACAGGTATATGTACATAAATATACTTTGATTTTTGGTGTACTTGAACTGTCTAGACTGTATTGGTATGTAAAACTGAGTCAATGACATTCGGAATAACTCGTAATTTTCCTACATTTGGGCCATATATAGTATATAATATCGAATGATGCATATTTGGCATGCTATTGCAATTTCTATAAGAACGTACCTATATGTATATAATATACCTATTATGCACGTATATTGATAAAACATTGCATATAAACCATTTGAACGCACATATAGAAAAATACCGTTATCTATTTTATTGCTGTACCAATCAATTGCATGCGTACAACATGTGATCTTAATGGACCAAAAATAAATTGTTATAAATAATCTCCAATAATATTTTATATACTCCTACAACTTTGCTTTTATGTTAAGAGTTATTAATTGAATATATGTTAAACATGATCAAGCGTCCATTAACCTGGATTAATGTCATAAATTTTCCATTTTTTTCATGACAAACTAACGCCTCGCAGTCTGGCTTTTAGAAAAAATTAATTGGAGTGTAGTAGGGCAGAATAAAATATTTAAATAACGAGATATAAATATTCCCTTATCTTGCTACACGTCATTTGCTGGTATAAGCACACATATACATTTACTAAAATAGCGTAAAATTATATTAGAAGCATGTGCCTGGCAAGTGATGCAATATTTCAATGATACTACAATATAAGCGACGCTTGTCGCTTTCCGATCTCCAGGTACACACCAAAGAGGCGCTTTCGTGCATGCAACTAGCACTAAAAGCAACCACCGCTAAATTGGTATCAGCCATGTAAACCAAAGGTAGTAGAGTGTTAGGGAAAGCATGCCTCTTCAGCTTGCAGAATGGTAGTGAAAGTTCAAAATTTCGATATGGTGAACCCAAAACCGGCGGGATATAAAAATACAGTAGCGCCGAGCTGACAAGGAGCATACATAAGAATACTTGCAAATGTGTGGCCGAGTGTATTCCGCCTAATTGAATTATTGTGCCTTGGTCAATTATCTTAGTCTAAACCTTTTCAATATCGCATTCAATCTTTTGTTATATATACCGTATTATGTGAAAGGTCAAAGCCCACCGCCAACAACATAATGGGTCGACCTTATCAATCTGGATTTACACCATCCATTTTAAGGCTGCACGAAAAAGACTTTCCTCTATGGCGCTATGCCTGAATTTGTTATTCACCGCAAAAATTACTCGGCTTTATAAACTGACATTCTTCTTTTTCTTTTTGGCATGGGCACGACTTATGCAATGATAGCCGAATAAACAGTAGCGCGCTATTCGGTTTTTCTCTTCACTGTTCGGCGTCAATTGAAAAACCAAGTGAAACCAGGTTGCACCTGAACCTTCCACTGGAGTGTAGGTCTTCCACTTTCTCTGTTTCCACTTTCCGAATTGGTGCCGCAGTCCCTTGATTCACTGAATTATGACGATGTCATCTTATATCTTGTACAGCTCAACGTACCATTGTTTGTGATACTTGTCGTAGCCAATGTGCAAAGAACCACAAATCGTGCACATAATATTTCTTTCGAAACCGTAGGCGGCCCTGGAAGCTTATCGGATGTTGACAACGTCCACGCTTCTGTAGCATATAATAGGACGGGAACGATAAGCGACTTGAGGAGTTTGATTTGCGTTGGTGGAGGGAAGACTTTACTTTTAACTGTCTACGCAGTCCGATGTTATTCTCGATTGGGTTTCAAAGCTGATATTACTATTGGTGTTAGTGGAATTATCTACGACCTCGAAGTTATGACTGTCAACAGTGACATGGGAGCCAAGCTGTAAATCACACGACCGTTTGTTTGATGACAGTTTTATTTTCATTCACTACCAAATCCATTTGCTTAGCTTCTTTGTCAAACTTGGAGAAGGCTGAACTAACAGCGCGGTTGTTAGGCATACGCCAGCCGTCGACAACTGTTGTAAAAGATTATGCCTTGTTTATTTGACTCTTATTGTTTTCTCCAGCACAAAATTGAATCAACATTAAGTCATTAAGTCATTAAGAAACACCAAAAGCTCCGCCAGAATTAAGTACGACCTCTACATCGCATGACTTTTTCAGCTTAATGCCGGAGAAAATAATAAAGAGTGCAAAACTGAAAGTGGAGGTTAAATTTTCTACAGAACCGTGCAGCTGTTGTATGCTGTTTGTCAATGGTCGATTGATATCATTGGAATCAACAACCCCGTCATTAGTTTTGCTTTCTGCAGTTTGGACAAATATGCGAAGCGAATGAATCTGGAGAACAAGGACAAGACGAAGTATTTCTAGTAATGAAACAAACGGTCAGCGCTTTCGCAGCCACGTCACTCTTGAGAGCCACAATGATGTTGTAGAGAATTTCTTTTGGGAACCAGCAACAACATTAACAACTATGGAAGCCTTGAAATCCCACGCAGAATCACTCTCTCCAGCAGCTGCTACTTTGGACTGTGTAGACAATTGGAAACTAAAGTTCTCTCACGTCGAATGAAGACCAAACTCTACAAGTCGCCAATCGTTCACTTCTTACCACATTACACAGAACTGTGGAGCATGACAACATCTGATAAGTCGGCACTAGTAGTTTCCCAAGGAAAGGTTTAGCGAAAGATTTATGCTCCCTTGCGCCTTGGAGACCGCGAAATATTTCTGTAATTAATTCATTATACAGCGGAAGCTAAAAATATACTTTGACCTATTTTCTGAATGCCAGAACTTTCTATGTATGTGGAGCGTAAATTTTACTCTTTCTTCAAACACTTACTCTTCCTCATCACGAAGCGCATAGAAAGCATGAAAGCATTTAAATATAGTACGATTAGCACATGAATAACGAAACTGATGAAAGTGAAAGCCCACACTTTGTACTCAAATACAATAAATAAGGTTTGTACATATATGAAATAAGCGGCTACACGCCCTCCCATCAGTACTTAGTATATTTTATAGTATATGGCATGCATGAGTATGCAGTTTTCAAGGTGAACCTAAAATGACCATAAAGAAGAAGAATTTTCGCGTTTACTTACCCACTTATTGCCGCGTAAGGCGCGTGATGTCCAGCATGATGCAACCAACGCAACATTACCAAATTCGAGGGTGAAGACTGGCGTGGAAGAGTCAGAGGTTTACAGATCAGACGACGGAACATATTCGCTTTTATGTGTACATATGTATGCAAGTGCTGCAATACCAATTAAGAAAACGAAATGTGCTGTAAATAGAACAATTTGTTTTAAATAAAATCAATAATAAATGTGAGTAATGAAGAAAACACAAGAGAGCATCAACAAAGGTATATTGGCTCATTCACGAGAGTTCGCTTGGAAGACAAACTACATACGAGTGTGTAGGTGAACTATTTTCAATTTTCATTTGCTGTCTGAGCTAAAAATATAGCAAATATAAACTTTTGGTAGTCTATATGCACATACATACATACATATAAATTTGTGTAAATTAATATCAAGCAAGCGAAATTTCTTTTGCCGCTTCATTTGAACTTTGCCAAGCGTTGATACGCTTTCTTTGCTTTAATCTTATCTTTTTACAATGAGGTAGGTTTCTGATTGTTTAAAAAGGAAATTAAAATGTACATTCATATATACATATAATACACAAGTGCTTCCCCATTTTATTTGACTTGTGAAATTCAATCAAATTTCTATTTCTATTTCTTTTTTGTTTACAAAAGCAAATACTCGTACACTCCCACCGGCCTTATAATTATGAGTTATTACTGTTGAATGAACTTATTGTTTTTTATACCTTTTATGTACATGAAATGGCATATAAACCTTGGTCCCAAGTATGGAAGTACCAGATGGAGGTGAAATAGACCCAGCAAAATGAATATCGATCGGGTCAGAAGGACGAGTTGAGTTCATTCAGCCAAGTCTGTCCGTCTGTAGACCCTCAGTTTTTCCGATATTTGAAATAAATGTGGTACGCAGATGTACTTGTATATTTAAACGATCGAAATAGGATAACTGTATCATTTACATACATAGCTCCCATACAAATGATTTGTTCAAATATAAGATTTAGAGTAAAAAAGCGCGAAAAAAGCATTCAAGTGCATAAGATTTGGTATAATAGATTCGTGTCTACAAATAGACTTTGTCACTAAAAATCATCGAATTTGGTGGACTAAAATCGATTCAATCGATTTTTTCTAATATGAGGTTTATTTTACAAAATTCATAGAAAAACATCGAAGAGCATGAAAATTGCCCCTCTAGGCAAGTTTATAGTAGTTAGTAATCTAACAGATCACGGAATCCTTATCAAGCACGCTTAGGTCTATTGGCCAGTTGTGATACCTATGCTGGTGCTACTAAGGAGACCTTCCACTTTCAAAATGCCTAAACCACTTGGTGTGTTTTATGAAATTCAGGAGAATAATGATATTAACCGATGCAAGACAATGGAAAAGGAATTTGCCAAGAAAATGATAACAGACCGCACTGAGAGTCGGGCAGTGACAGAGGTAGTGCTCCAGCTGCAGTAGAAGTCGTTTAAGAAGCAGCCCATCCTCCCGCATACACACAATGAGTCCACCGAGACCTCAGTGTCCGGTTATTATGCCGGTTGTTATGCTTATAGAGGTTCGGTTTAGAAGGAGTAGAGACTATGTGTGGTTTACCTGGATTAATAGCCAGATTTGTCTTGTCACATTGCACATAGTTTTGCTTTGCCATCTGTTGTTGGTCCTTCTGGTGAAGGCTAGTCTTAACAGATATTTTGCCGAGAAAAGCGGTATGTCTACGTCATGTACAGAATTTACTGTGGTTAAGACAGTTGCCTTTCTGGCCATTTCGTCGACTTTGCAGTTACCTGGATTATACTTATGGCCAGGGACACAAATCACGGAAATTACGCATAAAATTGAGAGTTTCTTTAAGATGTCTCTGCATTTGATTGCCACCCTTGAGGTGGAGTGACCTAATGTCAGCCTGGCTGTAAGAATATATTGTAACAGGTTGGGTTAACGTTTTAAGAAAAAGCAACCATGACGATTCTTCCACTAAAGCGGTTAGTTCCGCTTGGAATACGCTGCAGTAGTCGGAGATGACAACGGATCTATAATCTAGAACTGCTGCAGTATCCCAAGTATATACAAATAAAAAATTTGAAAATCATTTGAAAATAGTGAATTAAGACATGTAGCTCTCATGCAACCGATTGGCTCACATTAACATAAAAAAAAGTAATGGGAGCCACCTCTAACTAATTTTTTTTTTTTTAATATTTATTTCTAAAATGGAATGCCATAAATTTCGTATGGTCATGAAAGGTATAAAGACTTCGGCACGGTAAAAAATAGCTGTTCTTTTTTGTTGGGTTTTAATTTTTTATTAATGCATTAATGTCCACGCGTGGTATATATGTATGTACATAAAATAAAAAAAATTAAAGTTTGCTCATTTGTTCCGGTATTTTTAAGTGGGTAAGCAGGTGCTCTTGCGTCTATAAAAGCTAGAATTGTTATATAATTATATATTATATTTAATGATGTACGTATATATATATATATATGTGTGTGTACATGTATGTATGTAGGTTTCAAATAGTTTATCGCAACAGTTTCTATTGCGCTTATCACTATCATTCGCCAATTTAATGCAAATTCACGTGCTCCCTAACTGATAGCGAATTTTACTAACTGTAATATCATAAATTAGGTAAATACCTACATATGTATGTTCAAACATGCATAAGCATTATATTATATAATCTATTCAATATATTTCTTTGGCGCCGTCTACTATGCATTTGGTAATTTTCATATTTTTTCTCGGTAGTGATAATCTAATTTATTAACATTTTTATTGCATGCTTGTTTGTTTGCTTGTTCGTTGGTTTGCTCATTACGACTACATCTACAACCTGTACGTCTGTATCTAACGGAGATAACTCCTTATTGTTGCGTGGCATATTTATGCAGACAGTAAACTTACGAGTTATTTTTAGAAAGTATATGTACCTAACCAAATAAGCGTTTTGCTCCAAGAATAGCATGCGAGATAAAATTAAAATATTTATTAATTAAATATTTTCTTGTTTAAGACAGCAGTGATTTTTCGGGGTCAGTTATATATAGTTCTGCGGAAAAATGTAAAATAAATAAAAAAATAAATAGAAAAAAATAAAAGATAAAATAAAGTAAATGCGCATTATGCTGTGGATGCTATATTTATAATAATATTTCTATAATTAAAACAAAACACCCTTAAGTACATATACTCCGCAGAGAGGCGACAACACACTTTCCAATTTCCTAATAACCACCGCCACAGGTAAATATTTGCTCCCAAGCCTGAGAAAAGGCAAACAGTTCAAAAGTGAGTGAAAATATTTAGAAAATTTTAGCTTATCATTTTACATATCAAAACTGACATAATAAGGACTCACGCGCAGTTTGTTTTCAAGTTGTACAATTAAATTATCATATACACCTTTTTAAGCACCATAAACGATTAATATTTGTCTCCGAAAATTTTTTTTATTACATTTTTATTTTAAATTCCAAATACCGCATAAATGAAAGTAAAGAATTGAAACTTTTCTATTCTGTTTTCGTGCTCTCTTAAGACATGCCAGGAACTGAACCAGGTCGGATAAGAGTTGGTCCTTCCCAACATATTGCTAATTTGAGTCCACGTACCAGTAGAAGAAAATGACGATATGATCAAAACACCTTCTATGAGGGCCTTTGTGTTTGCCGATCCCGCCACGATGTTACAATCGCAGTCAGCGCCATCTGCCGTGTGTTTATACTCCGAACTGTTGAACGCACCCTATCGCTGCTTCATCGGAGAAAGGGGGACGAAACATATTTGCCGTGGTATGGAAGACATGAGAAGTTTACCGAAAATTCTATGCAAATATGTCGGCATAGAAATCAAATCATACTCATATCGGCCCCGATAGGTTAACTAGTAACCGATGTTCGGAGGCTACTGAGTTTATAAAGGGAACACTTCTTCAAGCCATTGAATCGCCGAGAATGTGCAATACTCGCGGGTGGTGAACTTGAATTATGAAGATGTCTGTCGGCTGAGCTTCTCACATATAATGACCTCAGACAGGGAAAATCTCGTCATTAACCAAATATTCATTATGCATCAAATATCAAGAGAGAAATGCAGCCACACACAACATTTTCAATTTAAGCGCAGGATTCGCAAGCTCGAGACGAAAGCTCATCGCCGCTATATTTGAATTTTGTATCCTGGCGGTTTTGCAAAATTAAATTAAATTCAATAATATAAAGTCAAATAAAATAACGCAAAAAAAAAATAATAAAATAAAAAAAATTAAAATTAAAATATAAAATAAATAAAAGTAATTAAATCAAATCAAATACAATGAAAAAAACATATAATGATGACTATCAGAAAAAACTCAAAACAAAAAAAGGTGTAAAATAAAATAAAGATAGGAAAATAAAACAAACTAAATATAAAATAAAAAATTTGAATAAAATGAAATAATGCTGATTACGACAAAAAAATTTGGATCAATCAGAATAAAATAAAACAAAATAAAATAAAATAAAAAATACTAATAATAAAAAATAAATAAAATACAATAAAATAATAATATATAAAATAAAATATTATATAATAAACTAAAATAATATAAATTAATATAAAACAAAATAAAAAATACAAAAAAAGTTAATAATAAATTAGAAATAAAATAAATTATTTAACAAAAAAATAAAAAAAGAAACTAAAATAAAGGAAATTGAAGTAATTTATAATGAAGTAAAATTAAAAAAAAAGTATCGAAAAAAGAAAATATAAAAAAATACAATCTAACTAAATAAAAAAATTGAAAAAAAATAAAATGAATTAAAATAAAAAATAACAATATAAAATAATATAAAACAAAATGAAAAAAAAAATAAAATAGAATAAAATAAAATAAAATAAAATAAAATAAAATAAAATAAAATAAAATAAAATAAAATAAAATAAAATAAAATAAAATAAAATAAAATAAAATAAAATAAAATAAAATAGTATAAAATGAAATAAATTAAATTAAATTATATTAAAATAATAAAAATAAAAATGCTAGAATAAAATAAAAATAAATAATATAAAGTAAAACAAAATAAAAAGAAAACTTTTTAACTTTACATAAAATGTAATGATAAACCATAAAAATTTTTAGTAAATTTCGCTCCTCATAATAAACATTATT